ATAGTAAGAACTAAAGAAAGGCAGTGAATATAGTGAAATGGTATGAATAGCATGATTAGCTTGTTCTGCCAATCATATATTCAACATCTGCAACCGCCAGTCCTTGGCTTAATGATTAGGGGCTGAGTAATTAAAAGGATAAAGCATTTGCCGTTGATCAATCCCTTTTTGGGATGCGGCACGCATTCTACTTCCATTTGTACATTCGTAGTGGCGTTTGAATGCGATGTGGCCTATACAATGACTTGCGGGGGCCAGCCGATGTGTGTTTTTATCCTCCCAGACAAGTCTGGTACCAATTAACCGACCCCGGAGGGATGGAAGGCTTGGTTGGCCCGGGCGACTCACGACCCAGGATTTGATCCCCGGACCGCTCGCGTGGTAAGCGCGCCACTTGTCCACTACACCACTTCCGCCCCTGAGTAATTAGAATGATTAAAAGTATCGAATTTCTCAAAATGCTCACAAAGTGCAAGATAGCTGTGATTAATTGTAAAAGAAAGAATGAAAATGAATTAACAGGAAAGGAGGTATAGAGTTTCAAAAACGAGAAGAGCGTCGGGTGCAGACCATACACCACAAGTGACGACGGCCTCCACAAAATGTAATGTTTTCTGCCAATGAAATGATTAGCCTGTTGCAGTTGTATTCTATCAGTTGTCACTAATTACAACTACCAAAAATCAGCTATCACTATGAACCACTACTAATCAGATTTACTTGGAGGCCGTCGTCACTTGTGGTGTATGGTCTGCACCCGACGCTCTTCTAGTTCTTTGGAAAAGAGGGTAAAAGGTTTACGGACAAAGCATTTGCTTTTGATCAATCCTGTTTGAGATGAGCTGTGTTCTCTACTTCCATTCGAAACGGCTAAACAAAGGGAAAAGGAAGCATTGAAAAAAAAGAAAAAGGAAAGATTGAAAGGGATTATTAAATGTACTAACACTGGGTGTAGAATTGTTGAAAAATGTGTCAAAAAACAAGCTAACAGAATAATTCAATGTAAGCAAGTACCACAAAGGAGGACAGGAAAATTTTACAACAGTCTAATCACTTCAGCGGGCGGAAGTGTGTAGTGACAAGTGGCGCGCTCACCACGCGAGCGGTCCGGGATCAAATCCTGGGTCGTGAGTCGCCCGGGCCAACCAAGCCTTCCATCCCTCCGGGTCGGTTAATTGGTACCAGACTTGTCTGGGAGGATAAAAACACTGACTTGTACATCGGCTGGCCCGCAAGTCATTGTATAGGCCACATCGCATTCAAACGCCACTGCGAATGTACAAATGGAAGTAGAATGCGTGCCGCATCCCAAAAGGGATTGATCAACGGCAAATGCTTTATCCCACTATGCTTTTTATGCTCAATAATC